GCGTGTGTTATCATGCCTGGCTAATTTTTCATTTTATTGTAGAGATGAGGTCTCACCAAGTTGCCTGGGCTGGTCTCGAACCCGTGGGCTCAGGCAATCCACTTACTTCGGCCTCCCAAAGTGCTGGGATTACAGGCTGAGCCACCAAGCCCAGTCATAATTTGTGCTTTGAGAGATGAAAAAGTGATTTTCCATTCATGAGAGGACATACACACAGTCCTCATTTTTAAATGGGATGTGTCCTAACAACCTACTTTAATGTGATTGTTTTGGACACATTTCTCCATAATGTTATACATGCTAATTATATTTCCAAACATACATACAAAAGCATAGCCAACCTACAGATACCTGAAAAATTATGTTAAAAACTGTATTTCACCTATTCTTAACCACACATTACACCTATTTATGTCATATATATATAATCCCTAATATATATAAAAAATAATAGTGATAATACTAACATTTATTGTCCTCACCTCAATGCCAAGCACTTTACATGACAAGCCGTTTATCCTCATGCTAACCAAGAGATTTGTATTATTAGTATTATTAAGCTCTTTTAACAGATGAAAAAATAAGCTCAAAAGATATTCAAGTAATTTCCCTAAGGTCACATGGCTAACAAGTGGCCAAGCTACCAAGTGATATGAACCCAAGCTGGACGCCAGAGCCTGACCTCAACTACTATTCTGTTAACCCAGTGCCTTCCAAATTCCATTGTTTCCAGAACTCAGTGACAAGAGCTCCCCTGACTGGGACATAGGAGGGATTATATCTGGAGGGTAAAGATTAGAGCTCCAAGTCTGGATAAGGCAAGGCACAGCTACTACCACCAAGGAGGTGGCAGCATCTCTCTATCTCACCATCTTCTACAGTGCCATGGGAGCGCCCAGGGAGACTTCGCCCAGGCTTGTGGGTTTTCTGAAATGCAGAGCAAAGGGCAAATCCCTGCATACCTTCAAATCATCTGAAGAACAATCCTAAATTCAGAGGCTATAATTCTTAAACACAGACATAGAAATAATATATTCTTCTAACAAAGTTTATTTAAATATATTTGCATGGAAGAGTAATAAACATTTTTGTAAGTTACAAAAGTCACAATTTTTATGTTTTCCTCATTTCAATAAGAAAAGTATAATAAATACGAGTAAATACACATAAATGTCTGATAAAATTGAAATACAGGAGTTTTCTGTTGGAAAAAAGTTTCTAGTGAATATTTTTGTGTATACATGGAGTTTTTTTTGATTCAGAAGAAAAAAAAATCACACACCAAATACAGGGCTGAATATTATATCTGTGATTGAATTTTTTGTAATTAACAATTTACAAGAAATATATTTTATAATTTACTACAGTTGATTACTAGAAATAAAATTTCTACCTATTGTGATTTTAAAAGCACCTGTGGATGCAGTGGGCATTCAACAAATAGTTGTTGTATGAATTAATTAAAATCTAGAGATTTGGTAAATGCTTAAATCCCAAAAGAAAGAATCTTTTTAAGAGAATATTTTTTTAATATTTTAACTGTAAGCTACTGATATACAAAAAATTAATCACTGTGCTAGCAAAATCCTTATTGTCAATGTATCTTTATCTTTCATAAAAGAAATCCCTGGAAGAGAAAAGAAGAGAAAGTGGCTCTGGGCGTACCTACCTTTCTGTTTCTGAGACAGGCTCTTTTGGCGCAGATCCTGCCCCGCTTAGACTCCAGCTGCTGGCACTGCCTTCTGAGTTCCTTCACCTCCAAATTCTTATCATCCTGCAGCCCTACCTCATGATCAATGACTTTAAGCTCCTCCGGACTCTCACATGGATCATAATAGACAACTTCATCCTGTTTCTCTAAAAGTGTATTAATGATTGTTTAAAAACATGTTTTATTATGAATAATGATGCATAACTTTAAAAAAACGTAACAAAAGTAAAGATCACTTACAATCCCCCTCAGGGAGAAGCACTATTAACATTTATGTACATATACGAGGAGGGACCAAAAAAAAAAAAAAAAAAAAAACCCGCGTTATCTTTTGGGGTGTGGACCCCTTATAGTATAGGCTTTCCCGCTAGGCAAGTGTTCTAGGAACCCATCAGCAGCAGTGTACCAGCTAGTTATTGTGAGAGGCTGCGTTCAGCTTCAGTGAATTTTTTTTTGAGATTCTTTCAATGCATTTGCTCATTTCATGATGGATGATTTACAAGCGTACCTGCCCACACCACACTGAGTGTTCAGCAGTTTTTTTTACCAAAAACGGTATGATCCCTGTGGCCCACCCTCCCTATTCACCCAATCTCACCCTGAGCAACTTCTTTTTGTTTCCCCAAATGAAAAAGTCCTCAAAGGGAAATGTTTTGCCAGTGTGAAAGGGGTGAAACAAAAAATGGCAGAAGCACTAAAAAGCATCAAAACTGACGAATTCAAAAACCATTTTGAGCAGTGGAAAAAACATCTCGCTAAGTGTATTGCATCAGAGTACCTTGAAGGTAACTAAAGTTTAAATGTGTAACAATAAATACAAATTTATTTTAAATAAATAAATTCCAGGGTTTTTTTTGGTCCCTCTCATATACACATACTACTTATGTAGTTACACATATCAACAGAGTTCTAAGAGAACGTTTTCCAAGTAATAGAAATATAATTTTAATGGCAACATAGTATTCTCTAATTTAACCATTCCCTGTTGTCACACTGTTCCATGCTCCATTATTATTCATTTCACCGTGATGAACTTTTCTACATATAAATCTTTGTGTACATGCTTATCACTTCTTTAGTAGATAAATAATTAAAGCTCTTGATACCTATTGCCAAATTGCCCTCCAAAAAGTCAGCTTACATTCTACCAGCAGTATATCATTAAAGTGGCTTAATGATATTTAATCTTGATTACATATTGATTTTTTTAAAAAACACATGCTTATTCTAACAAATTCCAACCCTACAGAAGTGTATAAAATTGTGAAATTTTCTTCCTCCTTCCAAAAACCTTCTGAATTCCATTCCCAGAGGAAAACATTAGACACAATTTGGCATGCATCCTTCCAGATTAACTTTTTTTAATATGATTTGTTCCCTAAATATGTACAATGCTTACATCCTTAAGCTACTTCAAAAAATTTTGAATACCTAGGATAAAACTAAATGTCCCGGAACTATATGAAGAAAATTATTAAACTTTAGGAAATTTAGGGAAAAAAAAGATTTAAATAAATAGAGAAGACATACCATGTTCTTAGGTGGGAAGATTCAAAATTGTAAAGATGACAATTCTTCCCAAAGTAATCTCTAATTTTAAGTAAAATCTCAGTCAAAATTCCAAGTTTTTTGTTTGTTTTGAACTTGAGTCTAAAGTTCAGCTGGAAGAATAAAGGAAGGAGAATAGTAAGAAAATGTGTAAAGAAGTAGAGTAATGATGGGGGTTACTTGCCTCACCAGATACTAAAATGTGCTTCCAAGGTACAGTAATAGCAGCAGTATGGAGCCAGCACCAAAGCCACTCACAAATCAATAGAGGAGAATAACAACTCAGAAACAGATCAAAGTTAATCTAATGTTTAACTTTACAAATGTTAAACATTTAGAGGAAAACGTTTTTAAAATCAGTAACTGGGACTCCAACAATTTGAGGGGAAAAGTTAGATTCCTACCACAATCATAATAAATTTCACCTGGATTAAAGAATCAAATGTTTTAAAAAGCATCATCATGAAAATACTAAAAGAAACCATAAATATATATTGATATAATTTTGGGATGAGGAGGACTTTGCCAAGCAAAGCAAAGGAGAAACAATAAGGGAAAAGATTGAAAATGTGACTTGATATTACACTTAATATGAAAGAGTAATATTCCAAAGAAAAAAATGGGCAAAGACCATGAATAAGCATTTCATAAAATACCAATGGCCAGTAAATAGATAAAATTCTATTCCATATCACTTGCAATTAAATAAATAAAAGTTAGAAGATGCCACTTTGTTTCTATCAAGTAGGGAAAAATTCTTTAAGAACAACATGAGTGTGAGAAAACATATATACTTATACTCTGCTGGCAGAAGCATCATCTTGTACAAACAACCTAGAGGGCCATTTTGTTGTATGGAATTTAGAAATTAGAAAATAATATAGGGGTGAGGAAAAAAATGATTCCCAAATGGCTGTTGTTTTTTTAACATATATGTATTGAAATGTAAAATCTACATTGCCCTTGATCCAATAATTGCATCTTTAGAAAAGAATTCCAAGGAAATCATTTGTCCTGTACATGCAAAGACATGTGTAACGAAAAGTTCTCCATTACACTGCTATTCAGATAAACAGTAAATAACTAGAAATCACGGTATATTACACTTACTATGAAATATAATGAAATACTATGCAGCCATTAAAATTCTGATGTTTTTATTACTTACTGAAATGAAAAGATGACTATTTTTTAAAAAGTTAATATATAAGATATGTAGCTTCAGTTAAAAATTTGATGGCTATAAAGTTATACAGCAGTTGTTCCCACTAATACCTCTAGATGCTGGGTTTGGAATATATTAATAATAGTTTTTCTTTCTTATTTCACTGTGTGTTAATAATATATTTTTGAATGACAAAAATACTGAAAGGAAACTTGAGAAATTTCAGTAGATGTTATAGGTTGTTTATAAGAAGTAATTGATAATACGGTCTGTATTTTCTTAAATGTATTTTTAAACATTTTAATCTATAAACTTAAATATAAATTTTACCTTTTATAAGTCTTTTAATAGAGTCCAACTGTGTAATAAGCAGTATTTCTTCATTTTTCAGTATCTCAAATTTAACCTCATATAGTTCTAACTGAATCTCATAAAATTGTATTTCCAATTCATCTACAACATCTCTATTTTTTTCTTGTTCTGGAAGATCTTCTATCTTGTTTTCATGGAAAAAAGAAGTTAAAGTAATTAGTATATTAAAAACAAATTTTAGAAGCATTCCAGCTATTTCTATTCCTTGCTCAATACTAAATATAAAAAAGCAAATAGAAAACACTTTTCCATTTCATCTAGTGAGACAAAAATGTCTTATTTCACATCTTATAAATACTTCAGTTCATCCGTGAAACATATGAAAACATTTAGATTTTGAGAAATATAAATGGGCAATGAGGTATTACTATGTACTAAATGCTTTTGTCACCGATAAAATTCATATGTTGAAACTTTAATCCAACATATGAATCCATATGCTGAAGCTCTGATGGTATTTGGAGGTGGGGCCTTTAGAGATAATTAGGTGTAGATTACGTTAAGAGGTTGGCGCCCTCATGATGGGATTAGTGCCCTTATACGAGAAAGAGAGGAATCTCTCTCTCTATGCATACACACCAAAGAATGGCTATAGGAACACACAGAAAGAAGGCAGTTCTCAATAAGCCAGGAAGAGAACCCTCACCAGATACTGAATATGCAGGCACCTTGATTTTGGACGTCCAAGCCTCTACAACTGTGAGAAATAAATGTGTGTTTTTTAAGCCACCTAATCTGTGATATTTTGTTATAGCAGCCCAAGCCAACTAAGACAGGTATTTATAGTGTTTCTGCTGTAAGTCATAAGATTACAGGAAGAAATTTCAGTGACTGTGATCCCAGGAAGAAGCACCTCTTTGATTATTCTAAAGTGGTACTAAAAACATTGCTGGATTGATTTTAAAGTATATTACCTACTTCAGTACTGAGCTTTGTGTTATTATAAAGTGAATTCTACAATATAATATTTTAAAAACATCTTGACCAAAGAGAAACTTTGTGGTTAAACTTGCATAGTCTTTAAATTCCTGCCTACTAGAAGATGGTGTTGGAATAAGTGAAAAAAGAGAGCACTTTAAAAATGCCTGGAAAGAAAAGTGCTATCTAAAATAAAAGTATATTTTTAAGACAAAGTTATAGCATCTTTTTCTTACCTTTTCTTGAATTTCAGCTCTCCTGTGATTTAAACACAACTCTTTGGCTCTCATAAGTTGCAGAGTCTCTTGAGCTAATATTAGCTTAAGTTTTTCTAACCTGGGAGTTGCTGTGGCCCAGGCAGCTTGGCCAAATCTCTTCCCATCTTGTTCCATTTGTTTCTGCATTCCTGTTAGAGTATAATAAATAAATAAAATATATACTACAACACATTAAAAGGGGAAAACTTTGTCATGAGCTAATCATTTGTTTACTGCCTCCCATATTACCTGCAGAATATCCCTCTTAAAAGAAATTTTGTCTAACTTTTTATTTTTACCAAAATAATACATGGTCATTGATATAAAATTTTAGATACTCCATTTAAAAAAAGACAATAAATCATAATCTCACCTAGTTGGGACAATTGCTTCTTGTATTTTGGTACATATATTTCCAGACTGTTTCTATGTCTAGCTACACAGATAAGTTTATATGAATAGTTTGACCCAAAAAACCAGGATCATCATTCAGCTTTATATCTTGTTTATTCTGCATATCAGAAACTCTTACCATTCATAAAAAAGACATACAGACTCATGCTTAATAATTATGCAGTTCCATTTTATAAATGTACCATAACTTATCAACTAAGTGGCAAACACTAAGTTATTTCCTATTTGGGGTTAGTATTGACAATGATTTAAGATTAGATGAAGTCCTTCACTCATCCTACAAGCCCTATATGGTTCTACCCCTGCCTGTCTTGCCAGCATTCTCCATTCTACCACATTTTCCTGCACCCTCTGTGATCCAGCCCCATGGGTTTTCTTTTTTTTTTTTTGAGTTGAAGTCTCACTCTGTCACCCAGACTGGAGTGC